GAGTGGGGAATCAAACCCGGTTCTCCCAGATTAGAGTCTACGCACTTAACCACTGCACCAAACTGGCTCTCTCCCAGGTAGCACCCAAAGCAGGGCCCTCTGAAGATGACTGTAGCGGGTCGGGTGGGTTTATAAGGCAACAAGAACAACTAAAATGATGAAGAGGATGGAACGCCTTCCCTATGAAGAAAGGTGAAAGAGGTTCAGGGCTCTTTCGCTTGGAGAAATGATGACCGAGGGGTGACATGAGAGAAGTTTACAAAATGATGCCTGGGATAGAGCAGGTAGAGAAAGAAGTCCTTTTCTCCCTTTCTCACAATATATATGAGAACTTGTGGGCACTCCATGAAATTAAGGAGCAGTAGGCTTAGAACAATAAATCAATGGTGAGACCTCATTTGGAATACTGTGTGCAGTTCTGGGCACCACACCTTAAAAAGGATATTATAGCTTTGGAAAAAGTGCAGAAAAAGGCAACTCGAATGATAAAAGGGTTGGAACACTTTCCCTATGAGGAAAGGTTGAAGCGCTTAGGGCTCTTTAGCTTGGAAAAAAGACGACTGAGGGGTGACATGATCGAGGTTTATAAGATTATGCATGGGAAAGAGCAGGTAAAGAAAGAGGTACTTTTCTCCCTTTCTCACAATACAAGAACTCGTGGGCACTCCATGAAACTGCAGAGCGGTCGGGTTAGAACGGATAAAAGGAAGTACTTCTTCACCCAAAGAGTGATTAACACATGGAATTCACTGCCACAGGAAGTGGTGGGTGCTACAAGCATGGACGGCTTCAAAAGGGAATTAGATAAGCATATGGAGCAGAGGTCCATCAGTGGCTATTAGCCACAAGGTATAGCTAGGGACTCTGGGGCAAGTGATGCTCTGTCTTCTTGGTGCTTGGGGGGGGTCAACAGTGGGAGGGCTTCTAATGTCCTGGCCCCACTGCTGGACCTCCTGATGGCACTGGTATTTCTGGCCACTGTGTGACACAGAGTGTTGGACTGGATGGGCCTTTGGCCTGATCCAACATAGGCGTCTCTTATGTTCTTATGTTCTTAATAGGAAGTCCTTCACCCAAAGAATCATTAATATGTGGAATTCCCTGCTGCAGGAAGTGGCGGTGCCTACAATCATGGACGGCTTCAAGAGGGGATTGGATAAATATATGGAGCAGAGGTCCATCAGTGGCTCTTAGCCGCAAGGTATAGAGGGAACACTCTGTCTTTGGCATTGATGCTCTGTGTTCTTGGTGCTTGGGGGGCAACAGTGGGAGGGCTTTTGGAGTTCTGGCCCCACTGGTGGGCCTCCTGATGGCCCCTGGGTTTTGGCCACTGTGTGACACAGAGTGTTGGACTGGAGGGGCCATTGGCCTGATCCAACATGGCTTCTATTCTCTGTAATCTTGGTGCTTGAAGGGGGGGCAAGAATGGGAGGGCTTCTGGAGTTCTGGTCCCACTGGTGGACCTCCTGATGGCACCCGGGTTTTTGGCCAGTGTGTGACACAGCGTGCTGGACTGGAGGAGCCACTGGCCTGATCCAACATTGGCTTCTCTTCTCTGTATTCTCGGTGCTTTGGAGGGGGGCAAGAGTGGGAGGGTTCTGGCCCCGCTGGTGGACCTCCTGATGGCCCCTGGGTTTTGGCCACTGTGTGACATAGAGTGTTGGACTGGAGGAGCCACTAGCCTGATCGAACATGGCTTCTCTTCTCTGTAATCTTGGTGCTTGGGGGGGCCACAGTGGGAGGGCTTCTGGAGTTCTGGTCCCGCTGGTGGACCTCCTGATGCCCCCTGGTATTTTTGGCCACTGTGTGATGCAGAGTGTTGGACTGGAGGGCCCATTGGTCTGATCTAACCTGGCTTCTCTTATGTTCTTAAGGTTCATGTGTTAACATTGCTACCCACCCCAGTATTTGGTGGTTTTGCAGACTTCAAAATACATGTCAGCGAACCTTTTAAGCACATACTGCGGCTGGAGCCGTGACTAATTATTACCAAACACAATAGCTGTTCTCTGTGTTGTGCTGTTTGTGTGTTACTCTGCTACCTCCAAAGCATCAAAGCGTCTTACAGACAAATGAGGAAGTTGAGCGGATGGGAATTATGGTTAATAATCTGGATGCAAAGGAGTGCGCTCGAATGGTTTAGAGTCACATCCCTTCTTAGAGTTATTTACAAGATGGTTTGAGCCACCCATCAGCCCTGGAGGCCTTTCGGCAGGCGTGCCAACCTTCAGAAATTAGGCAGGTGGCTCCAGACGGGGTCTTTTTTGTGGTTGCTCCAGAGCTGAGCAGCCTCTCGGCCGTGGTTTGCCTGGTGCAGGCAACACCTGCCCTGCCTTTGGGGCTCAAGCGTGAGCCGCGCTGAATCTTTCTTGGCTTTGATTTTCTTGCTGCTCGTTGCTTGTTTTGTTTTCAGCGACGCCGTTGTTCCCACCCCACTCCGTCCCACGTTTTTTTAGGACATTGGGGGGAAGTTAAAATAGTAACACATTTATTTACTTCACTTATATCCCACCAGATATAAGAGAGCCAGTTTGGTGTAGTGGTTAAGTGCGCGGACTCTAATCTGGGAGAACCGAGTTTGGTTTGTTTCTCCACTCCTCCACTTGCAGCTGCTGGATGACCTTGGCCAAGCCATAGTTCTGACAAGAGCTGTCCTTGAAAAAGGAGTTTGTAAGCCACACTGAGACTCCTTTGGGTAGTAAAGGGTGGGGTATAAATCCAACCTCTTCTTCTTCTTAATATCTGTAAGCTGCCTTGAGCCAGCTTGTCTGACGAGGCGGGATACAAGTTGAAATAATAAATAAATAAAGTTTAATTCTGGGTATAAGCTTTTGTGTGCGTGCACACTTCTTCAGATACATTGAAGGTAAAAGGTAAAGGTTCCCTTGCTCGAAAGCCAGTCGAGTCCGACTCTAGGGTTGCGGTGCTCCTCTCCGTTTCCAAGCCGAAGAGCCAGCGCTGTCCGAAGACGTTTCCGTGGCCATGTGGCCAGCATGACTAAACACCAAGGCGCACGGAACACTGTCACCTTCCCACCGAAGTGGTCCCTATTTATCTACTTGCAATTTCTTGCTTTCAAACTGCTAGGTTGGCAGGAGCTGGAACTGGAGACGGGAGCTCACTCCGTCATGCGGCACCCGGGTCTCGAACTGCTGAACAACCGACCTTCCAAGATAATAAAAGAGTTCTTGCTGTCTAGTTCTTGCTTATACTCAAAATTAAACTTTGTTGGTCTTAAAGGTGCCGCTGGACTCCAACTTTGTTCTCACATTACTTTGTTAACTCATATTATCTGTATTATTATATTATTATATATATATTCGCTGTATGGAGCTGCGGTGGCTCAAGTAGTTAAGACGCTGAACTGCAGGCTGTGGAAGGTCGGTAGTTCAGCAGTTCGAGACCCGAGTTGCCACATGACGGAGTGAGCTCCCGTCTCTAGTTCCAGCTCCTGCCAACCTAGCAGTTCGAAAGCAAGGAATTGCAAGTAGATAAATAGGTACCACTTCGGTGGGAAGGGAACAGCGTTCCGTGCGCCTTGGTGTTTAGTCATGCCGGCCACATGACCACGGAAACGTCTTCGGACAGCGCTGGCTTTGAAACGAAGATGAGCATCGCAACCCTAGAGTCCGACTTGACTGGCTTTCGAGCAAGGGAACCTTTACCTTTACCTTTATATTATCTGTATGTCAATTTGCTGTTATTCACAGATTTTACCGACTCCTTTAATCCAATTTTAGCTGGGCAACTAACCCCCTCCTCTCTACCTACATATGTAGTGGCTGAGGAAGTCTTGCTTCAATGTATCTGAAGTGTGCATGCACAGGAAAAGCTTATAAGCAGAATTAAACTTTGTTGGTCTTAAAGGTGCCTGACTGGACTCAAACTTTGTTCTGTTGCTTCAAGGCAACACGGCTACCCCCGAATTTAAAGCTAGCAAGATTAAAAATAAATAAAAATAAAAGGAAGTAAACACACAATATACAAAGAAAAATAAAACCAATTAAGACTACGGGGGGCAGTTTTACATGGGTGCAACCACCCCCAAATGGAACCTCATAAGCTGATACATAAATGAGACCCGTTTATTTATTTAAACGTATTTGTTTTTAGTTTTACCCAGGCTTTCTCCAGTGTTGGAATAGTAGTAGTAGTAATAATAGCAACAGCCATCAAGTTGGAATCGACTTCTGGCGATCTCATATAAGGTTTTCAAGGCGGCAAGAGACAAGCAGAGGTGGTTTGTTCAAAAGCAAGAAATTGCAAGTAGATAAATAGATACCGGTTCAGTGGGAAGGTAACAGCGTTCTGTGCACCTTGGTGTTTAGTCATGCCGGCCACATGACCATGGAAACGTCTTCGGACAGCGCTGGCTCTTCGGCTTTGAAACGGAGATGAGCACCGCAACCCTAGAGCAACCCTAGAGTCAGATTTGACTGGCTTTCGAGCAAGGGAACCTTTACCTTTTACATACCTATTATTGTTAATACATTATTATATTATCTGTTACTAACAACAACATTCACATAAAAATTAAAAAGAAAATACATTTTAAAAAAGGCGGCTTAAAAACGCACAAAGGGGATCCAGGGAGCCTCCTTTGGTCTGGGAGGGGGGCGCCTCTCCCCCCCCCTTACGCCATCCCGGCCAGGTAGACCGCCTCCCCCGCCCTTCCCTGCCCAGAAATGCCAAGGGCGCCCCCCACGTGACAAAGGGACTGGCAGGATCAAGCCACGCATGCGCACCCGCCGCGGCCC